GGTTCTAGGTGAAAAGTGGAGCAAGAGCTCCTTTTCTATGCTTTTCTGCTCTGGAGAGTGACTGCCGTCAAGATCCATGTTTCATTGCCTTACTTCCTCCATCCTTTCTCCTCTTTTGTTCTTTTCCCACAATCCCCTGAGGCAGAGGGAGCCGACTCTGCATACACTCTCTGGACTCTGTCCATGGTGTACACTCCTCCTGAGGGTAGGATGCTGAGGACACTAACCCCACGGCTCAGCCTCACTGGGGGAAGGGGCATCCTCTCTATATTGCAGAGGAAACACTTTGATTTAGTCCCCCATGCTCGACCCTTGAACTATTATGCAAATTAAATCAATTTATAAAAGTCTTATCTCTTCCCATAAGCCTGACTTTCAAGACAAAAGTCTAAACTAAAAAAAAAAAAAACAGTCTAACCTAATAATCAGAAGTTGAAGGTCAGTGCTCGCTCTTTGCATTCCTGCTCACAGCAGCCCAGTCACCAACCACTACTTTCAACTCCCCCGGGCGGAAAGGGAGATGGTCACAGACACAGAATGGCAACAGGAAAATGTACACTAACATTTACAAAAGCATATTACGCCTGTTGGATTAGGAAAATGACTTTATAACAGCGGAAAGGAACTGAATTCAAGTCCAACTACCTTACTTGGCCACTGCTAAACAATTTCCAAAACTTATGGAACAGATTTTCATATAATATACTGTGTTATATATGTGTGTATACATTTACACATAGAATTTAGCTGTGAATTCTGGTAATGACCAGAGCAGTATTTGAACTGTTTTAACCAAGAAATTTCCCTCAACACCACAATTTAGTAAAATACCATGTGATATTTGAAGAGTCTCTACCTTTGTGATTAGTGGCAAACGCTGAGGACGAGATGGAATTCTGATTGGCAGGTGTGATGAAATAGGTCAACTTTCCCTTCTGGTGGGCACTGTTATGGGTTGAATTGTGTTTCTCCCTCAAAATATGTTGAAGTCCTAACCCACGGTACCTCAGAATGTGATCTTATTTGGAAATAGGGTCCTTGCAGATCTAGTCAAGTTAAGATGAGGTCATTAGGGTGGGTCCAATCTAATATAACTGGTACCCTTATCAAAAGTGGAAACTTAGACACAGAGGCAGACGTGCACAGAGGGAAGACGGTAAGAAGACGAAGGGAGAATGCCTGAGGATGCAAGAAGCAAGGAGAGCAGCACGAAACAGATTCTTCCTCACAGCCTTCAGAAGGAACCATTTTGCCCACTCCTTGATTCCGGATTTTGAGTCTCCAGAACTGTGAGACAATAAATGCCTGTTGTTCGAGCCAGCCAGTTTACAGTACTGTGTTATGGTCACCTCTGGAAACTAACACAGGCACTGACTCTAAAAACCATCTTGCTGTGTTTTGAAATATCTGTGAATATATAAATTTGGCCATTGTCTGCATCACATGGCAAGGCTATCACCTGTTCTTTGAGAGAAAGGAAAACAGGCAGTTTCAGATCCTGACGACAGTCGTTCTCCAGAGCAGAAAAGCATATGAAGTCGGTTTCAAGGCCAAAGGCGAAAAAGGAGCTTTTGCTCCACTTTTCACCTAGAACCATAAGAGGCAAATGCCTGGCAGGGTGCCCACTTCCATCCACAGCTACCTCAGAATGAAAGTGGCATTAGGGTCATGAAATATGATCCACATGAAATGTGACCCAACATTTCGTGACCCTAACCCTCATCCCTGAACAAGTCAGAGGTGCCATCCTAACTCCCCAGAAAGAACAGAGACTTTGCAGGTGGAGAACACTGAACGCATCTAGAGCTGATGCTGGAGGAAACTGAAGACAGGAGACTCGCAGAGCAGAAAACTAGTGGGAAAAGCAATCAGAAAACACGTTTCTAGAGAAACACAAAATATCTGAATGAGAGAAAGATGGTAGACAACTGCATAAAAGGGAAGATTTCAGACCACGAGGAAGAGGAACTTTTTTCCTCCTGAAGATGGATATATATTTTAAAATGGGAAAAGCCACCAGCAATCATTAAGAGTAGTTAACCATGGAAAGAGATCTCTTTATCAAAGCCATTTCATTTTATTTTATTAGATTTTTCTCATGGGCATAGACTTAATATTGATATTCACGAACATCTACTCACAGATGCAAATGTCCAGTAAATGGTCACTCAGTGGATAGTGCCCATCTGCCGTCCAATCGACAAAGCACACAGCATCATCTACAGCATTAAGATTCTCTACTGCTACCTGGTGGCAACACGCACATACTGAAGAAGCAACATAAGAACACCTCGGGGGCTCTAATGCCCAATACCCGTGACTCAGTAGTGCCGTGACAAGGGTCATCCACGAGAAACAGATCGTTCAGGGAAACAAGAAGATACAGTGAGAAATCCATTGGGAAGAAGAAAAAGCGCAACTTTCAGGAATGGTCCGATCATGAAAACATAGCTTCTTAAAGAGTAGAAAAAAGCAATTTTTGTCTCACTGGTGCAGTGAGTTGCCAAACTTCAGGATCTGAGCGATAAGAAGCACAAAAGAATCTAACATCCCATTGATGTCTTCATATTTTACTTTCTATGTAAGAAAACAGTAGTTTTCAACAGTCTGCTTATTAAAAGTCCATGAAATAAGGTCTGTTCTATGAGGTGGATGAAGGAGTATGCCTCTGTATATCTTGGTTCTCTCACGACTGTGCTAAACTAGCACTGAGGGGGCAGAGCTGGTCTTCACTACCTCATCCTCTCTCAGGTTGAGGCAGGTCTTCCATTTTTAGACCAGCTGCTCTTGGTAGATTGGAATGAAAGAGGTACAACGAAACACACGGCAGACCACCATCAGTGACCTCACACACACTTTTAACCTCCCACTCAAAGTACAGCCATTACTTGATTGCATGATGGGTTGGGATGAGATGAATGGAAGGAAAGAACTCTTTACCTTAGCAACAACACAGAGTGGGCAATACTGGTGTTCCAAGCAAAAAAAGAAGAACCAATGGGAAAGAATATTTCCCAGAAACCCACATGATTTGGACAAGCTTCTAAGTCAGGGAAAAACAACATCAGAGACATTCTTGCTTCATCACAGTGTCTGTGATTTGCCAAATTCTCACCCACCAAGAACATCACAGCCCCAAAAGAAAATGACGGTAGGCATGAAAACAAGGCTCTATTTATGCATGAGTCACACAGTTGTGTGTAACACCCTCTTTGATAAATATATATTTTTAAAAAACCCTTTCAGTTGAGAGGGATCAAAGCTTCCCAGAAGTTGAAGTCAAAGCCCAGAATTGTTTATTAAATCTGAGAAAATCAGAACTCAGAGACAAGGAAAAAGAAGACTGGGCACTAAGTCAGACAGTGGCAGCAGGCTGCTGAAAGGTATTCTACATAATTTGGGCAAGAAGGTGTAAAATAATTTTTAATTTCACAAGTGATATATGACTGTATTCTTCTTTTTAAGAATTATTTTAAGTATTAGAGCACTATAAGTAAAACAAAGATCACCTCCCCAAAGTGCCTATCCCCACTAAAATAACCAGTGTGTTTTCACTTTGGAATGTATCCTTCCATATTTTAAAAAAAGAAATTATATACATATTTATGTGTGTGTGTTGTAGAAATATATAGTTTATGTGTACGTGTGTTTTTATACATGGTCTCAATAAACAGTATATATAGTGCAAGCAAGCAATGATATCTTGAAATGTCAACCTTTGGTCAATGATTTAAGGGTCTGAAAGAAGTCGCTTAAATATCTATGAAGAGCAAGCGATGTCTACGAATGGCAACTTAAATGTCTACTAATGGCAAACACTTATGCCTTAAATATTAGGGATACAATAGGGAGTGGTGTGGAGCACGGCAAACTAGAGAGAGTGCCCTCATGAGAGGGCAGCTGTTACCCCCCTGGAGCCAATTATTGCTATGGCAAAGTGCAAGCCAATTGTCAGATCTTCCCATTTTTAAAGAGAAGCATAAATAAGCTGGTGTTTTATCAAAAAAATCTCTTGACTTTTAAATGTTGACCACTTAAAATCCAAAGTTTCAAAACAACAACATGGTGCCAGCTAACACTTGGCTGGTCATACTGCAGGCTGAATGTGGAACACAGGACATCAGTTTGCAAGACTCATCTAATCCATATGTATTTCTCTGCTGGCACAACCCACGTCTCAATGAAACATTCTTCGACAAATTAATATGTGGAACACAGACAGTTCTTTCGAAGGTATTGGGTCTTTTCACAGGTAAAGATATTCCTGGCCATTAGGGCTATTTTCTTTCTCCCATTTCTGTTTTGGAAGGAGTTTCTGAAGAGGGATAGGACAAATCCACCCATTGAAATACGTTTTGTTTTCATTTGTTAGGATTTTCAATTTTAACAGAAGCATTTCATATTTTGTCATTTTGGAAATCCATCGGCCACTACCTTTCATGTCCTCTGAGTAAGGGAAGATGCCCAGATTTACCCAGAGAGGGGACACAGGCTCATGGTTACAAGGAAGAAGAGTTCTTCTGATGGTACCAAGGGCACCTTGTGACAGGTGCCCAGACAACTGCCCGTCATGAGACATTATCTGGGGAAACAATAAAGGAGGGTAAGGAATGTGCATTGTCTTCTTTGCTCTCTTTTGCAAGGGGAACACACACAACGGCACAGTGCTGGTCCAGGACATGGAGCATTTCACCATGGACCATTTCCACCAAACTCCACCGAGAGGTTTAAAATTGAACACGGTAACCAGAGGATATAAATACAAAATACTATTTCCTCCATATCAGTGAAGTTTTTTTCTTAATTATTGGGGTTTAGGAGCAGAAACTTGAGAGAGATGAACGATTTTTAAGGATCACCTCCAAGATGGAAATATTAATGGTTCACGCTCTGCATAAAAACAATCATTGGGGACTTCCTGCTGAGCAAACTTATTGTTTCTAAAATTCAAGACACGCTGGGCTTGAGATGCATGAAGCTGATGAAGAGGATCATCCTACCTTGAAGATGAAATCGGCCATCAGAGGCCCTGCAATCTTGAAGGTCTGTCTCTCTGAGCCCTTCTGAAATTCCACCGTTGTGTTTTCTACAACAAAAACTCCAGGGCTGTTAAAGCTGTGTTCTCCTTTGTTTCCTTGAAGTGTTTTTGATTCAATAACTAAAATTAAAAAATAACATTTAAATGGGAGAACTATCTTTTTTGAGGCATAATTGACATATAACATTATATTAGTTTCAGGTGTACAACACAATGATTCAATATTTGTATATACTGCAAAGTGATCATCACAACAAGTCGAGTTAACACGCATCACCACACATAGTTAAAAATTTTTTTTCTTTTGGTAAGAACTTTTAAGATGTAATCTCTTAGCAACTTTGCTTTTTACAAAAGAGTTTTGTTAACTATAGTCATCGTGCTGTGTAATTACATTTCCATGACTTATTTATTTTCTTACTGGAAGTTTCTGCCTTTGACTCCCTTCATCCTTTTCACCCATGCCCCCACCTCCTGTCTCTGGAAACCACCAATTTGTTCTAAATGAGAGAACTAGCTTAAAAGCATTTTATTTCAGAAAGATATTATACTACATAGAATAGCATGTGCTATCAACACAATATCAATACATCCACTCAGTTTACAAACATTGATTCATATTGATGGAATAAATATGTAAGCTTTTTAGTTGCCCATTTAAAGGACCTAACAAGGCAGCTAGGTCCAATTAGGTCTACTCAATTCTTTGAAGTCATTTCTACCCCAAAGGGAAGGAGAAAATGTCTCTTTCTTTATATTTTTTCATGATGAAGCTAAGTTACTCATTTTAGTAGCCATTCAGAAGATCCTAAGCCTAGTATTTTATTTAGACAAAACCACAATGAATCTTGAATTTTCTTTTCTTTTTTTAAAAAAAACCTTTATTTTGAAATAATTATAGATTCACAGGAAGTCACAAAAATAGTAGAGAAATCCTGTGTACCTTTCATCCAGTTTTACCCACTGGTCACATCTTACGTAACTATAGTATGACATCAGAACCAGGAAACTGACATGGGTACAATGTGCACACAGAATCCTATGCCATTTTATCACACGTCACCACAATCAAAATACAGAACTTTTCCTTCGCCACGAAGATCTTCCTCGCCCATGCGACCCCTTTATTCATATTTGCTTTTATATGAACAGAAGGGCTTTTAGACGTTCTGCAGAAAAATAACTGCCAAAGGTTTAACCAAAACATCATTTCTACTTTATTTAAATGATTTCTTGCTTTCCCCATTCTTTTTTTTTTTTTCTTTCATTTTCTAAATGTCACCATACTTCGTGGACCTGGTCTGAGGTTGAGAGAGGCAATAATGAAAAATAACACACAGCTGGAGGCTGGGGCGCCTGTGTTTCTGGCCTCAGCTCTATCCCTAACTCACCGCTGTGGGGTTTCATCATCTCATTTCTAAACTGAGGAGTCAGAACAGACAATCTCTTGTGTCCTCTTCAACTCTGAAACCTGCACTTGACTCATTGGTATTCAACGGTTCTTTAACCATCTCCAACCAAGAACACAATAGAACCCAAATCCCATTCAGATTCAAACTTAAAAATGGGAAGCTGGTAAAACACAACAAAATGGCCCGGCATCTGGCGGCTGCAACCCACACACTGCCGTGCTGTGTGGTTTTCCTCTGCTGGATTTCTCTCCGTCCCGGGAGCAGCTGCAGGAACTCAAGCACCCTGGACAGACTGTGTAACAGGCATTAGGAGACATCCCTGATTGTCCCTGACAGGCAGGCTGGGAACTTTTCTGGGAAAATTCAAAGGCTGGACGTGAGCTACTCGATCTGCAGGAGTCATTAGCGGTTGAAGAATAATGCTGGCTACTCTCAGGCTCACAAAACCCCAACCACTTTGGCCCCGATCTTCACGACCGCAGTAGATGTTTGGAATGAGTGAGATTAAATTCATTTCCTAGTTCCAATGAAGATATAAAACTGAGTGTTACAGAGTGAGTTGTCAGTAAAAAGGAGATGGGAAACTGGAGATAGTGAGAAGGCCCTGCACTGGATGAATTAGCTCACTAAAGGAAAGGAGGGAAAACAAGGAGCATTCAGGCAACATCGAAACACAAAATGAGTTTGGACAAAATTCATCTTCATAGAAGCCATGCAAAACACCAGTTTTCTAGACTGAGATTCAGCCTGAAATGACATGATTAAATTCAGATAGCGTGCAATGGATTCTGCGGCTGTGTCGGGGCGGTAATTGCTTTACCACTGCACGAACCTTTGGGATCACAGCTTTCCAAGTGTCACCGGGATGCGGAGGTATGGCAGGTGGTGCCAGAATCTGGGAAGGCGATCTGGCAGGAAGGCACGACCAGTATGACGTCCATCCTCTAAACCAAAGGCCAGCGTTTCTGTTAGTGTTGTTTTGGTGTTCTGTTTTCTAACGTCGAGTCTAGTCCATTACTTCGACGGCGTCCAAGATCTTTAGTGAGAAGGATACGAGAACGCAAGGAGCAGAACCAGTTTTCAACTGCGTGTGAATTACCCAGACCACTCTTCTCCACGGAACCACGCACTTGTCATAAAATATGTTTACTCCAATTATTCAAAAGGCTTCCATCTCTTCAGGTCACAAACACTGGCTGCATTCATTGGAGGCTCCAGGAAGCAAGTTTCTGACTTCACTTGTGTGAATGAGTCAGAAGTGGGTGAATAAAGACAGGTGAAGTGATTTGATGAAGATGGAGTTTATGAATGCAAACGATTCTGATAATTTGGATTAACAATGCCACTGTGATGAACCCACAGTGAGGCAGAGAGGCTGGTGAGGTTCTTCAAAAATCGTCATTTTTATGGGTAGTAAACATGCCTTTCCTTAGTGCCCGTGCCTCTTAAAATAAATGACAGAAAAGAAGATGGTGAAAGTCAACAATTTGAATGATGTGTTGACTTATGGGTTTGTTTATTAAGTTTTTGTTAATTTCTAGCATTCCTACACACTTACTGCAGCCCCATGTTGTGATAAAGTGCAATGTGATAACGGGCTCGTGAGAGCTGCGCACACAAGCCCTTCAGTTCCTGGAGTTCTTGCTGACCCCTCTGTAGTTTCTGCAGCAAGGTGGCTGGTAGTGCTGGGCGGAAACCCCAGGAAGCCTATAAAACACCCACCACTACGAAGGGCAGAGGGTATGAGCCTCCTTTCCTCCTGCCCACTCCTGACTTCTTTCTCCTCTCCAGGCTCAATATGGTGGGCAGGTTGCAGAGAACGGCTGAGGAAGAGACGATACACAGCTTCAAACAGACAAAAACAGAATCAGAAATCAAGACCCCCTTAAATCCCCAAATCTTCACAACTCAAGTCTGTAACGATGCCTTTAAACATTTTGATCCGTACTAGCTATTTTTAAAAGAAATGATGACTAGAAAGATGATGAGTGCTTCCAACTGCTTCTAGTTGAAGGGCCTACACTGAGAAGTATCGATCCAGGCTTCTTTCAAAAGAGGCCAGGTCGTGCTAATTATCCCCAAGAGGTCTCCTTAAGTTCTAAGAAGGCCACGACAGGATTGCTAGACGGACATGTAATGAGCGGTTGGCAGAGCTAACTTAGTGATAAATACATCACACTTAAGCTTAGAGGAGAGTTGTATTTTACAGTGTGTGCACACTTGATTCAGCATCCATTTCCTTTGATTGGTCATTGTGCACAGTGTCCATGCTTATATTTATACAGCTCAATATATAGTCATCAGACAGGATTTAGAGGACAAAAAACAAACAATTCTTCCACTTGACCACGGAGGTTTTCAGTCTATGGCATCTCGGCTCCTCAAGTTTTTATTGCGAGTCAAACACATTCAATGTTGAAGTTTTGCTACCATAAAATTTCTTTTGCAGGAATCCTCTTCTTGCTTCCATCTTTGACGGGATGCACTATCAGGAAATTTGGAGCTGTGTGCTTGCTATGTACATGCTGGGGCCAGGCTTGGGACAGGACTGGAAATTCAGAATCTAAACACCCCTAGGCAGTACGTAAGATGGACGTTCTGTAATTACATTCCATTTCACAGCAAAGAGACTGACATTAACGTTACTGGATGTTCTCAGTTCTTAATAATGCAGGCTTTTGGAGGGTGGCAGTTAATATGGATCTTGAAAGAATGGATATATCTTTGTTAAAAATAAAAATTAAGAGAACAGTTGCATAAATCAAGAAAATAAAACCGCTTCTATATTTAGATGTTCAGAAATCTAGTTACAAACTAAATCCTTTGTAAACGAAGCCAGTTCTTTGCATCAACAGAGAAGGATAACTTTCAGAAACACTTCTGGAGCCAATCGTGAGACTGTTTAGAAGGGGAAATATGCTATGCAACAGATCTTTCACCTTGGGAGAAATCAGAATACGTTTGAGCCCTGTTCTTGGAACAGTGCCAGTTTTGAGTATAAAATTATATTTAATTTGCCAGAACCTATATGCATGTAAACGCACATTTTGCCTCAAAGTATTCACGTTTACTTATTCTGTTTACTGTCTACTTATCGAAGATGTAGAAGTTATAAAACTATTTTTGGAGCTGAATCTTTGGGAAATGCCTGTAGTATCACAAGAAAATCAGGCCCAGTCACTGCATATTTTTTGTTTTTTAAAACGTCTTTTTGATAGGCCATAAAATTCACATACCATAAAATTCACCCACTTAAAATGCAGTTTAATGGTTTCAGTATATTCACAGAGTTGTAAAAGCATCACCAAACCCTGTTTAGAACATTTCTGTCATCCACCTAAGAAATCTCATACCCATTAGCAGGTACTCTCCTCATTGCACCCCAGTCGAACCCACCCCAGCCCTAGGCAACCACCAACCGACTTTCTGTCTCCACAGAGTTGCCAACTCTGGACATTATAAATAGAATCACACAATATGTGGGCTTTTGTGACTAGCTTCTTTCATTTAGCATGGTGTTTTTAAGGATCATCTATGTTGTAGCACACATCAGTTCTTCACTCTTTGTTATAGCCAAATAATATCACACATATGCCACATTTTATTTATCCATTCATCGACAGATGGACATTATGGCTATCATGAATAGGACTACTATGAATAGTCAGTGCTTCCTATTTTTTAATCCAAAATGATATTTTACAATGTTATCACTCAAATGATTTACAAAATTTGGATCCACAGGATTTTTAACTGATTTCAAACATCAAGTGTGCATTTACAAGGATGAAGATTTACTCTCCTCAAGAGCTGCGGGCTTTAAGCCATTTAAAAAAGAAGCTTAAAAACTTTTGTTCCCACAACCACATTAAACGTAACAAAAGCAGTGGCAATATAAAGTCTGTAGCCTTTCCAATGAAGGTTTATAAAACAAAAACAAATGTTCTGATGCTTCATCACAGAGAAAGCCTTGAATGAAGTGACCATTACGTGGCTGTAAACATTTTAGTATTTTAGCTAAAAAAAAGCAGTCACGTTCTTTTAGTCATAATTCATATAACAAAGTTAAGGATAAAAAAAAGGCTTTGCAGTAACTGCACTCTCACTATCTCAAAGATATCCTCTCGCTTCCCTAATTTAGATCACAAGGTACTACAGAATTTCTTTTTTTCCCCAAAATTTTAATCTATGTCATTGGTGACCTTAAACATTTTTATTTAAACATTTTGATATAAACCTTTCTCAAAGCACATTTCTGGTTAGAACATTAGTTCCGGGTCCAAAATATACAAACGCACACACACATGTGCACACATACACGCATGTGCACACGCACACACACACACACACACACACACACACACTTAAAAGCTACCAAAAATGTATGATGCTTCTGGCCCTGAGAAATTTTAATGATTTAACATCTAAGATGGCGGCTCAGAAAAAAAAAAATGGCAAAACATGTAGCACTTTAACCCAGTGGACCTTGATTTGTGTGGCTTTAAAATAGCTACAAATAGTGTGTTTTGTACTTTTTATGGAAAGAAAGAGCAGAACACAGTAAGCTTCTTCAAAGCCAGGGGGCCAGTCTTGGCAGAAACCCATTTTTCTTTGAAAAAGACTAAGAAAGTCCTGCCTGTGGCCACAGGGAGAACCATGGGAGAGAAGGAGACAAGTTTTGGTATTTCCAGTTCCTTTAGGTCCTCAGAGGCCAGAAGGACTAAGACAGGAGATGCCACCTGACTTTGGCCCAAGAAACAATACAAGTGTGATCCTCTGTTGTTTCAAACTCTGAGTATTCTGGAGACCAGCGTTGACTTCCAGGGCGCCTAGACCGAAGTTGTGGTGTGCTGGCAACAAAGCTTATCCTTGGCAGCTGCAGATACTGCATGGATCTATGTTTTAAATCTTGTTTTGTTTTGTTTTGTTGTCTCAAATTGCTCAAATCTCCAGAAGACTCTTGAATCCTGATTTACTCTTCACATTAAAATAGTTTACTTCACACATAACTGGATTTCCTCCCCCACGAGGGGATGAATCCCAAACTGGGGTATTACCCACGGGGCCTGAGAACGGAAACATTCAGGCTACAGATCATCTCCCTCCTGACAGAGATTACTTCAGGGCGGTGGGCAAAATCCTTGAGATGATCAACACAAAGACAGACTTTTTTTTTTGGCTAAAGAAACTTTCAGGAAGGGAAAAAATGTTAAGACTGGAATCTACTCACAGAGATGTGCGGGTCCTTTCACCGTAATTCTCACACTTCGACTCCCCAAAGGGACAGCGATTGCATTTTCTTCCCCTAGGAAAGAACGCGAGACAAGTGTAATAAAACACGTGCACCAAAGGCCAATAAAATAAGCCAATCAATCAAAACCGGGGACATGGGCAAAGTGCTCTTAACTATATTTCATTTCCATCTTACTCTCAAGAAGTCTTTGAACAGCACCTACTATGGAGAAGGCATATTAATACGACTCATGTAATTTCATTTAAATACATTTTCAAATAACTTTAAAGGAAAGTTTAAAATAAATGCACTGCCCTACGACCTCAACTGCCTTCACTCCCCAGGCCTCATCCATGTGCTCTGATGGAGGTGGGAGATGTGGTGGGGGACAAACTGGGTCCCCCAAATCTGGCCACATCCATCCATTTAAGTCTGCTTTTGCCCTACAAAGGCAGAGTTGAGTAGCTGTAACAGAGACAATATGGCTCATAAAGCCTAATCGATTTACTATCTGGCCCTTCACAGGGAAAAGTTTGATGATCTCTGGCCTAGACAACTACCCAGAGGAAATCCTAGCCCCTGTGGATGTTTTTTTCATGCTGTTACATAGTCTGAAATTAAGTTTCATGGCCGCATAATAATCTAAGCTCATAGGCAATTTTATCCCACTAGTCCCCTACTTGAACATTACTTCTGTTACTAAATGATACTAACACACTGTCAGTGATACGAATTACTTCCTGAAGATGTTGTTTTCATTTGGGTAACTATTGAGAACAACTTCTTTTGGATAAACCCTGGGGTAAAATTGTTTCATCAAAAGATGTCGCTGTATTTATTGACTTGTTTATAAGTTTTTATTAAATAAAAATATTTGATGATTGAAAATTAGAAAATACAAATACGCAAAAAAGACAAAATAAAACTATTTCCTATCCTACTGCCCAGAGATCATCACTTCTAACACTTTGATAAATATGCTTTCCAGATTTTCTTTTTGTTTGTTCTTAATATACATACACGTAAAAAGAAACAATGAACACTACCTGCATGCCCACTATTACGGGAGGGGTTAAAAATACAACAGTATACCCATGCTAAGGAATACTCTACAACCGATAAAAGCAATGATAAGAAGCTATATGACTTGACGCAGAAAGATCGCCAACATATATATTGATGAATTAAAAAAGCCAGTTAAAAAACAATATATAGATCAATGATTTCTTGGATGGGACACCAAAAGCACAGGCAACAAGTGAAAAAAATAAATAAGTTGGACTGCATCAAATTAAACTTTTGTGCATTAAAAGACACTATCAAAATAGTAAAAAGGAAACCCACAGAATGGGAGAAAATATTTGCAAATCACGTATTGGAGAAGAGGTCAATATCCAGAATATATAAAGAACTCCTACAACTCAACAATAACAAAGATTCAATTTAAAAATGGGCAAAGAAATAGAGGAAGATTCGTACAGATGTTTGCCTAGCAACAACTTCCTCATGCAAAAAGAGGAGGATTGGCAACGGATGTTAGCTCAGAGCCGATCTTCCTCAGCAAAAAGAAAGGTGCAAAGGACTCAAATAGATATTTCTCCAAAAAGGATATACAAATGTCCAATAAGCACATAAAAACGTGCTCAACATCAGTAATCATCAGGGAAATGCAAACCAAAACCACAATGAGATACCACTTCACACACATTAGGATGGCCATTATCAAAAAAACAGAAAATAACAAGTGATGATCAGGATGTGGAGAAATTGGAACCCTTGTGGACCGCTGGTGAGGATATACAATGGTTCAACCACTACAGAAAATAATTTTTCAAAATGTTAAATATATAATCAACATAAATAAATATATCAATAAATTAATAAGTAAATAATATTAAATATAGAATCACCATATGATTCAGCAATTCCATATCTGGGTATACACTCAAAAGAGTTGAAAGCAGAGGCTCAGATATTCGTGCACCCACGTTCACAGCAGTATTATTCACAACAGCCAAAAGATGGAAGCAACCCAAGCGTCTATCCACAGATGAGAGGATAGACATCACGTGGTAAATACAAACAATGGAATATTATCCAGCCTTAAAAGGAAGGCAATTCTGACACATGCTGCACAACATGCATGAACCATGAAGACATTATACTAAGTGAAATAAGCCAGCTACCAAAGGACAAATACTGTATGATTCCACTTACATGAGCTGCGTAGAGCAGTTAAATTCTAGAGACAGAAGGTAGAATGGTGGTCACTTGGGGCTGGCGTAGGAGGGGAAGAGGGAGTTATTGTTTAATGGGGACAGAGCTTCAGTTTGGGAAGGTGAAAAAGTTCTGGAGACAGAAAGTGGCAGTGGTTGCACAACAATATGAGTGTACTTAACGCCAGTGAACTGGGCACTTAAAAATGGTTAAAATGGTAAATTTTATGTCATGTATATTTTACCACAATAAAAATACAACGTATATGGCATAAATCCATTGCAGAAGCATATGTGTTCGAGTATTGCATTTTCATGTATATGTAATTTATAGAATTATATACATGTAATATATTACATTATATTTTGTGCAAATGCATAGAATGAGATTGTACTTGCATAGTAATATGTAAATGCATAGTAACTGCAATTGCCTATTAGTAAATAACAAAGTGGGATCTTAATTCTTTAATCCTTTAAATTCGTGGAAGACTTTTCACCAAATCATTGACAGTAGTTACCTCAGAGAATAGGAACGAGAGTGGTAGGAGTGAGGGAAGAGGAATATAGTTCTAGATTTTTTGAGTTTTCTATAATAAAAATGTACTGACGAGTTACTTTCCAAATATAATTAGAAAGCTAAAAATATTTTTTTACAGGTGAAGAAGAAAGAAAAACGAAAATAAAGGACCATGGCCAAAAAGTTTTACTGGATGAGTTTTGTAAAACCTTAAGCAAACAGGTAAGTTGCAGGTAACAGGAAGACTGAAAGGGCATCAGTTACTGGTGCTCAGTGGACACAACCCAGACACCCAGACCAAACACGGAAAGCGCAGATATCAATGTATGAACCAAACGTTAATTACGACTAGGGATATAAAAATAACAAATAAAACAAAGCAAACTAACTCCAGAACTCTATCAAAAGAAGTACACATCATGACTAAGTAGCATATATTCTAAAAATGAATGATTGATTTAACATTAGGAAAATCATTCATATAATTGGTTATATTAACAGATCAAAAAAGTTTTAAACACTATGATAATTTTAATGACTATAAAAAGGTATCTGATTAAATTCAGAATACATTATGATAAGATTCTTGTTAAAGCCAGGGAGAGAAGGAAACATCCTCAATTTGATCAAGAATCAGAAGCCAAGAAGAAGACTAGTGAAACATTAGAACTATTCCCATCACGGCCAGGAACAAAACAAGGATTAGGATAACTATTTTCCCTACTCTCTTCTGTAGATGCTATGCTTGTTAATGTAATTAGAAAATAAATAACCTAGAGGAATATATTTTCAAGAGGAAAATTTAAAAATGCCACTGTTTGTAGATTGACTACTTAAAAATTCAAGATAAAAATCATTACAATAAAAAAGTTCAGGAAGTATTCTCACATTAAATAAATAAATAAATTGCTGTCCTGGGTTTTAATTAATATTTAATTCATATTATATTTAATATGTTATATATTATATAATATGTCTTAATATATTATATTATATACAATATTATCTATCTATATACACCCTATTTATTACCTAGTCTGTCTGCTGAAAACACCAAAAAACATTAACCAACTCAGTAGCAATGAACATCCTTGCACCCATATTGTGCCTCAAAATACCATTTCCCACTAAAAAGAACCAGAACTTCTTACTGAAATGGTTCAATCCAGGTCTGGGTCAGAAAATGGATAAGATAATCCTAGGACATCATGGCATTAAAAAAGTAAGAGAGCTCTCAAAAACAACTGGAGGCACGTCAAAAGGACTCCAGAGTCAACGTGAAGAGTCTCCAATTGGGCAAAAATGTGACAATTTGAACATTAGTAAGAATAATAACCACAATGGTGTGAATCATATGAAATATGCTTAAATCCATAAATTCATAATAACACTTGAAAAAAATCATTGGCCACATTTTGAGGGTGCTAAGAACCAGCTCATTATTTTCAAGAATGGCAAATAAAAAAAAAAAAAAGAAGAATGCATTTATCATACCTTTCTGTACAAATTTTACTTCTGGAGAACTAAATCACTGATGAGGAGAAGTTTCTCTTTATAGAAGTATTCAAGCTCATAAATGAAGGACTGATAAAATATCATCATTTAGACATTGATTATCAGCAGCCACAGCATCACAAAAAGACAGAAAAACATATTTTATGGGCCTCCTAATATGATGCAATAGAAAGTACATAACACCAACTCTAAAATATTTTTTCCAAAACAAACAAACAAATTTGAATATGACCAAGCTTTTAGATCTTACTACCTATTTACAGGAAATTTAGAGCACAAAGGAACACGCTAAACCACATTGTGGGGATATAATGAGAAAAATACAGACTATGGGAAAATCTATAGGACAAATGAACAGTTTCCTCACGAAATCAATTTCAAGGAAAAGAGAGGAGGAGTTACTTACACATTGAAAAAAGAATTAAGAGACATACCATCCAAATGCAACATATAGACCTTATAAGAGACTAATTTGAATAAGCAAGCAAAAATGATGGGGTAAGGAACTCTGAAAACCTCTCTTCCATAAAAGCAAAGAAAACACTAGCACGAATTGTCAGAATCAACGTTTTCAAAATTCTGGAAATTAATAAAGGCTTTCAGTAATCTGAGTAGCATTTATTCAAGAAAAATACTTAGTGAAAACAGCAAGCTTGTGGCATTTTAACTTGCCTAGTCCCATATCCCTCATCCTCAGCCTCTACGGTAACCTTGAAAACCAACAGCCCATAATCATAGTGAAAATGAGCAGCATGGAAAATGCTGCAGTGGCAGAATAGGGTTGGTGCACCTCCAAAGCCCCAACTCCCAACTGGCATTGT